CCTGCGCGGCGCTCGAGGGCGCGCCTGACTGCAGGGAAAACCGATTCGGCCACCTCGCTCGATACAGGAGGGGTCAAAGAGCTCAGACGGATGATCAAGAGATACGCAGAAATGAGAAGCAGGAGAGACGAGTCGGACGGGTGGGGGACGGCACGACGAGGGACAGGACAGGCAGGAATGACATCTAACTGAAAGAAGCAGCTGGACCTTGCCCCACAGACGTGGGCAACACCAATCATGCTGGAAGCTGTCGGCCGCTCCTTGGCATCCGAGGCAGCAACTCTTGAGCTCCTGATCGTGCATCCTGAAACTCGTGGTCCAAGCTCCCGAGAAGGTTCGCCATGCGGCGTTTCTCAGAACTGGGGGAAACTTTAAAATTTCAGTCTGAATTTCATGCCAACTTATGTCTCTAACTTCCCGCTGTTCATCGGGGAAGTAGGTTCTGAAACGAGGGCTCCAGTCGTGGACAAGGCTCCCACAAAAGGAAGCACAAAAAAAGCCGAAGGATCGCCCCCCCCCCCCCCCCCTGGATGTTCATCTTCCTGGGCGGCCGGGGGTTGTCTCTTAGTTCCTGCATTGCTAATTTGGGCCGCTGCCAAACCAGCAGCTCCAACTCGTCTGTAGGAATCCTGGTTCTTAAACCCTTCGGCGGCGTCGCGCAGCTGTTCCGCGAATGGCGGCGCTCGCCGGAAGGTCGGATTCAATCTCTCTCGGCCAATGTCGTGAAAAGAGAGGCACCTCAGCGCTTCACTCTCCATCGTACGCGTGGGGGTCCCCCGCCCAGGGAGGGTTGAAATGGCAGTGCGCATGAAGGCGGCAGCGCGCGTGGCCTCGATGCTTTCAAGTCTGGGTCCGCCCCAAGTTTTCAGCTCGACATGCGAAGGGCGGGAGAGGGCGCGGGCAGAGACCGAGGCGAGCGAGGCGCGCCCCAACCCGCGGAGCGAGGGGGGCCCAGGAAGAGCCAAGGGAAGTTGAGCGAACTGGGCGACGTAAGAAAGAGTGTTGACCGCTCTCTTATTGCACATCTATTCAGCTACCCCTGCTGGGCAACTCTCTCTCGAGCGATATGGGCAGCTCTGACGTGCCATTTCTGGGCGGGCTTCTCCCGGGCCTCGGTGGAGGCCGCGGGGCCGTGGATGAGGCCGAGATGCTCCAGAGTCGCGACGGTGTGGGCATCCGTCCACTCGGGTAAATTACATTCACGCCATTGCTTATATACATTGGCCATCACTTCATCATGAGTTCCTGCTAGCGGTGCAATGTGGCACTTGCTCGGCTTTAACGCCAGCGCTGCCAGCTCGTGACTGTGGTCGAAGACTGTCTTCAACTTCTTGGGCTGGGCAATCTCCTCTACATCCGCCCCGGCATCGTCCGCGCGCGCATCTGCCGCGGCCAGAGTCCTCGCACGGGCAAATGGATCACCGCGATCAGCCCCCCCCCGACGAGGTCAAGGTCCCTGAGGAAGAACGAGACACCAGTGCACCTGATGCCGGCTGTCCCTCCAAGAGCTCGCGGGACTCTGCCAAAAAAAAGATGACTGCATATTGCATATAGCGCCCCGCTGGCTGGGCACCCCCGCAATATTCCTGATGCTATCTGGAATAACAGTTGAACCTTCTTCTGATAGACGCCAAAGCAGAGCGCTGCATCGCGCGTGTATCGTAAGAGGAGAAGCATGGGCGGCGGCAGTTATATCCTCTCGAGGACTTTGAAAATCCACGCGCGGACAGCAGACGGGAAGGCCTGGCCGCAATCGAACGCACAAATCGCTGGAAGAGAAATGGCCGCGGATCCCTGCGCGCTCGACATCCGTGCCCTCGCGTCTAGGCCCAGGAAGTTGACTCCAAAGTTCCGCCCTCGGACAAACCCTCGCCGTTCACAAGCGATAAACTCCCCGAGACGACGGCTCAGATGAGCCACCGCGACGCCCGTCAGGATTTTGTTGCTAGTTTGTTTCAGCGCCAGGGGCCGCGTCTCCCCGGCACCAATCACCGCCTCATGATTGTCCTCCTCCTTCTCTCTTTTCGCCAAGAAAGCCTCGCGTATGTATTTGAACGCCGGCAGAAGATGTTGGCCTCCGAATGCCCACCGAAGAGCGCGATCTAACTCATCAGCACCTACTGGGTTATATCTCCATGCTGCATAAGATAGCCCATCCGGCCCTGGAGCGCTTTCATTACCTCGATGAAGCTGGTCTGCTATGCTTTTCTTAATAGGCGGGGGGGGGGGGATCTTGGAGGCAGGCGCGAGGGGCATATTTGTCGAGAAACTTATCGATGGCAGACGAGTCGATGGTTTTCTATCGGCCGAAGAACGCGACCCAGTGCTGGCCGAGCAGCTGCGAGGCTTCGCCGGGCCCCCTCGCGACGGCTCCGCCGTCGACTCGAACGCCTGAAGGGCGCTCGACGTCCAAATGGTGCCTGGAGCCGCGCTCTGACCACGTGGCCTCGCAATCGTCGTTGGAGTTTCGTTCTCGTGAGCTCGTTCGTGGTGTTGTTCATCGTCATCTTCGTCTTCGCTTGTTCTCGCTCGGCCATCGCTCGCTGGGTCTGGTCAGTGATCTTGGCGCATTCATCTGCGCCCGAGAGGGCCACCGCCCTCGCGACGACGTCGATGCGAAGATGTGCCCTACTCAAATTACTGCCCGCTCTGATCTTCCCTCCGAGCTACGCGCCTTGTCTCCAAACCGCTCGGGCGATGCTCTTGGCGGTCAGGAACCGCGAGAAGAGTCTACCAGGCGAGCTCCGAAGCGTCGAATTCCTAGCAATCTTAGCAGCCTCCTTCATCACCTCTGTCTGGAACTCGAGGGGGGGGGCAGGGGGGGGGGGGCGCCGAGGTCGCAGATCTCCGAAACTCTCTGAAGGACCTGGGCGAACTTGGGATGAATGAAAACCTCGGACGGGATGCTCTGGAATTCGACGTTGATTCTGAAGGCAGGCTGCTCGAGATCGCGACTCTTACTGGTGCGTGGTCGCTGATCTTGCGACGGGGTAGAATGTCTGGCATCTCCAGCGCGTCACCCTGCGCGCGGAGCTGGTTCAGGATCCAGCCCGTGAAACTCACAAGCTCCCTATCTATCGAGGTTAGTAGTCGGTGCTTCTCGTGATAGTGCGTGGGGTCCGAAACCTGTGGCTCTGCCCTTTCGCCCGAAACTTGCATGAACGTCACGCCCTGACCTTTCCTGAACTCCGTGGCAGAGCTGAGGGGGGGGGTGGAAGTGGTCCCGAGTCTGCAGGAAACGCGACTGCATCCTCTTGTCTAGGCGGGAGGTTGGCGACGTGGAAGTCGCCAGCGACCGCCGCGAGCTTCGTGCCAGGGGGGGGGGGGGGGGCTGGATCTGGTGAGCTCCTGTCCAATTGCTTCTGCAATGTATTGTTTATCTTCTAGCTTAAACCCAACGTTGTGAATGTTGAAGTGGCTCATCCAGATGTCCTCGCTAAGCTCAATAAGTATATTTAGAGCCTGGCCATGATATAAAATTCTCGAGTCAACCTTCGGCGCCCCCACCTCCAGGAGAGCAAAGGAATTTCGGGATTAACGCAATCGCCCCCCCAGCCAGCGAAGAGCTACAACAACTGTATACTGCTAGCACCTCCTCGTGGGCATGATAGAGAAGTTCGTGGAGCTGTCTATGACCCGTGACTTCGTCCTTGCAGCGCAAGGATCGCCCCTCGGGAAGGCAGCCTTCTTAGAATCCTAATCTTGAGGTCCCTGATGGGGGGATCATGGTGGAAGAGGGCCCGAACATTCCAGGTAACCAGAGACAGTTTCCACTCTTGCCGGCGAGGGCCTTGCCAGCACTCGAAACATTGCCTGCTAAAGACTCCACTCTGTGGCCACCGTCGCGTTGGCGAACACGGTGCCCATCTTGGCCCTGGGCGCTCTGATGTCCACGCCCGCGGCCTGGTGGTTGCCCACAGCATATGTAATGGTCGTCTCCTCATCGCCAACCCTCGGCTCGACTTTGAGAAGCGGCTTCCACATGTAACTGAGCTCGCCCTTCTGCTTGTCTCCGTATATTTTGAGATTAGGGTACATCTCGGTGAAAGCGAGCCTCGCCTTCCTGAGGGCAGATTCCCGTCGCACCATGTATCCACTTTTATCATCAAAAATGAACAGCTAAGTCGGACAACGATCAATATCCTCCGCCACGACACGCTCATACAGTCCGTCCCCTTTCCTGATACTGCCAGGACGTTGCTGCACTTTCCGAGATGCGAAGGCACGACTACCACCAATCCGAATCGTGGATCTCTTGCTGGCGGGCTCCCCTTCGATCTGATGGCCAAAACTGGTCGGGTCGGTGTCCCTGTGGGGGTTATGATCGATAGGTTTGGGTGTCGGTCGCTAATTGTGCATGTCTCCAAGAATCGCTGAAAACCTGCTGAGCTGCAACTTGAGGTGGCTGATCTCCTGGGAGTGGGAATTGACTGCTCCTTCCGCTGTCGCGATCCTGCTCTCGACGTGGTTGGAGATCTTCTCAAACGCGGTCGTGACCGTGTTGGAGCAGCTGGCCAGCTCCAAGTGGCTGGTTCCGACCAGTCCCTGGAGATTCCTGATGGCTGCATCCATGGCGGCCTTAGTGTCATCCATGTGCTTGCGAAGAACATCCACATCAGAAGCATGACGGGCAATTTTCCGCTGGGCCTTCTCCTGCGTCGGGAAGGTGGGTGCTGCCTCGAGCTCACTGAGCAGAGCATCGTTCACAGACATGGCACTGCGGCGGGAGACACGAAGAGACTAGACTGGGAAGGTGCCCAAGTCAAAGACGCGGGCCTGCCTGGGCAGGCGTCTGATGGCCCGCTTCGGACCTCACACTGGGAGGCGACTCGAGGTGCGGGTTCCAAGTCGCACATACGCCGACGACTTGAGCCAACATGGCTACGGTCCTCCTCCCTCCTCCCCCTCCTCCTCCTCGTCCTCCTCCTCCTCCTCGTCCTCCCTCCTCCTCATCCTCCTCCTCCTCCTTCCCCCCCTCTTCCTCGTGCTGTGGCGCCGGAGACCTCGCTGCCATCGATGCCCTTCCGATTCGTGGCGATGTCCTTCGACGTCTGCACCGCCTGGCACGCGAGGGAGCGTGGCACAGCGGGAGACGCACGGCATCCCAAGAGCAGGACCCGGGCCAGAGCGCGTCAACACGCGCCTGGCTTCAGCTGGCAGCCGCCCAGAGCGATCCGCCTCGCTGGTGTATCGGCGATGCACGGGCGACGCCGGGATGCATTTTTGCTATTCGAGCTGAGCTGATTCGCTTGGTATAACATGCGCTAACAACGCCGGGCAACTCAGCCTTTGGATCGCGCTGCTTGGCGGAAACATCGGCGATGCGGCGTGATCCCCAGACCTACGTTGCTGAAGCCCGATGTGTGCGGCGTAGGTCAACTCGTGCATGCGAACGACCATCACCATGCAGACTAGCCCAGCAAACCGCGACATGCTCCGAGACGTCAAGCAACAACAACTGAAAATGACCATGCGGTGATATCGAACTGCCCAAGAAACTCACCGCACGGTCCGTCACCAAACCGGGTTGGGCCCCTGGAAGCCCCAATCGCCCGAGACATCCGTCGGATAGCGGCCCGAGTCCTAAAACCGTGCGGTCACCCCAAATCCCCACCTTGGCACCACTCGGACGTTCATTCCCCTTGTTTTTGTTTGGTCTCGGGCGTCTTTTATTCGCAAGATGGTCCAAGATGCTGCTCGATTGTCCTCGCCAAGAGAAATGCACACGTCCGAACGATGCCACGCCACTGACTCATCATACTGGGTGGTCACAGCACCGTGTGTGGGCCTCCGAACATGGCGTGCCTTCGGATGCTGGCCATTACCTGGGGAGTCGGAACTCCGACCCGCGGGAGCGCAGGTCTCGAAGGGGACTTCTCCGAGTAGCCGGGGCTTTACCCCGAATTGGCGGCGAACGAGGGGGGGATGTGAGAAGGAGAAGGCCTTCTCAGACGGCGGCGTGGCTTCTCAGAAGGCCGCTGGCCTTCTGAAAGGTTTTCCCTATGCCTTCGGGGAAGGCTTAGAAACTCCTCAGAAAGCCAGGAGCCTTCCGAGCCCTCTGAGAAGGCCTTCTCTTTCTCACTTACCCCCCTCGCTCGCCGCCGATGAAAGGAACAACTGCTGAGGGATCAAAACTCAGGATGCGTCTGGCTGGGGCGATCCCGTCGGGCCATTCTTTGCGTGATCCTGGAACCTCCTGAGAGCTGGATTCGGCTCGGGGGGTCTGTTTGTCAATGGGCGCCAACAAAACTACGTAGCCAGGAAAAGAAAGGACACGGGGCAACTCCTGCCGTTTCCTGGCCATCTGGACAAGGCGGCCAAACGGAAAGACGTGTACAATGATGCCTATCCCTTCTTTCGTGGCCAGAGCCAAGGCTAAACCCACCTCAGTCCCCCAGAACGTGACACCTTCCTGATGACGATCTCCAGACTGAATCGGTAAAACCGTTCCAACACATTTAAAGGGGCCCAGGGACACACACACACAAAAACATAACGAAGTCCGAGTATTGCCAACATTTTGAAATCTTTTCTAGGTTTTCGTCTTTCCTCCCATTTCCCATATTTTCCCATATTTTCCTGGCGGTCGACGATTAATTGTGTTTGTCTCTCCCCTCCTGAACCTTCCTGATGCAAATTTCCGGACTAAATCATTACAGCCGTTCCAGCAGATTCTGGGGAAGTTTTCCAAGGAACAAGCAATCCGAAACCAATCGAGCATTCCAGAAACGTTTCCCGCCACATGTTTTCTTAACACGTGTTGTAGCATTCGTAAGGGAGGTGCCCCATTCATACGAACCCAAAAACATCTATGTTATCCGCATGAAAACATATTCCAAACGCAGAAATCCGGAAACCTGCTTGACACTTTCGTGACGACGGTTCTCCACGACAAAGCCTTTTCAAACCTCGCGATTAAACATTCGCGATTGAGGTTGTTCCGCACGAATCGTGGTAAACCTTCTTCGGGGAAAGCCGCGCTCCATGGCACGCCTTCCTGACATGTTTGGGAGGGAGGTTCCGAAGAAAGACCAGCCCATAGCCTGCGTTCCAGGAGTGGTGTGTCCTCCTGAACTGCAGCGCCCAGCTATGGCCGCGGAGCCTACCACGGCCTGCGGTTGGCTGTGCCATTGACCTCGCGCGTGGCGGCCGAGGAGTGCAACGGCCTGCTTGTGGTTGCGCCACAAGCTGCGCACCTTTGGTGGCCGAAACTGAGACGGCGCGCTCGGGAACGGAACCTTACAGTCGGGGCCTTGACCTAAGGAACCCTAAATAAGGAACGAGGCCCCTTTTTTCCACAAGTTAACCTTCGATTTCCTGTCGAACACATAGGGAAAGCCTGAGGCAAGCTGCGAAACACTTAAGGAACGCGGAGCCCCTCCCCAACGAAAAGGGTTCCTTCTTCAGGGCCCCGACTGGACACTGCCTGCTATTGATGTCGCCATGGGTTGCGAACTCGGCGGCCGACTCTGAGACGGCCGCCTAACGGGTGCGATCAACCCAAATCAATGCACCTCGCGAAGAACAAGTCCGGGCTACTCCCGACACAACTACAAGGCATGCTATCCGTTGCGCCATCGGTTGCGCACTCGGCGGCCGAGAGAAAGACGGCCAGCCGACGGGCCCGCGTCATCTGGCGGACCATCTTCGTGCACACGCAGGGGGGCCAGGAGGACGATGCCGGCGGCGACAACGACGACGGAAGCGACGACGACGCCGCCGACGGCAGCGGCCATGGCGTCAACGATCAGTGCTGGCGACATCGACGACTGGCGGCGGCTGCGAGAGGCGGCAACGGCCGCGTCGGGGACCCACCGAGCCGGGTCAATCCAGACCCGCGCGAGTCAGGCGTTCACGGGCTCCTTCAAATCCTGCAAGATATCCTGCGCCCAAGCCCGAGCCAGTGCAGCCCTGACTCGGCAGGATCCCGCAAGGTCCGGCGCTGTGTCCGACCTCAGGTCGGGCATGTCCTCCTACAGGCGGATTTTGGAAGAAAAACACAAACTAGTCAACAACATGGATGGGAGAAAACCAAGAGAGCACGGAGCATCGTCGCCACATTATGCGTAAACTATTATTGGATATGCCTCCTGTAGAGGGACGTCCCCGACTTAGGACTGATCCCCGCCTGCATGGACCGGTCCGCCCTCTGAATGAGCATCTAGCTCGGCCTGGGCATCTTCTTGCAGAACGTAGCTGCACTTGACTCTGTGGTGCGGCATCCAGGGATTCTACTCCGAGGAAGTTCGAGTGCTTCAAGCAGGCTTACGCCTTGCATGGAAATTCAATCTAGGACCTCGTTATGTTGGCTCCTAGAGCTGAGGTACTCCAGATCTCGTAATAAAAGGGAGGGGGTCTCAACCCTCCCAGACGAGAAGTTTTAGACCCCCCCTGTGGGAGAACCCTCCAAAACATCGTCCCCAGACCCCCCAGGCCCTCCAAGATAGCCTGGAAGAGACCCCCCCCCCCCAAATGAGACCCCCCTAAGGAAACCACTGAGGGGTACCCTGAGGTAAGAGGAAGGGAAAACTGAAGGCCCCCCTGCCCAAATCTGGAGTAATGATCACTAAGTGTCTCTGATGCCCCCGACCGCGGCGAGGCGCTGGCGGCCGTGCCTCGGGGTGTGCGGGCGCGAGGCCCCCGCGAGCCCCGCGGCGAGGCCGCGGCGAGGCACCGGCGGCGAGGGCGGCGGCGGCGGCGGCGGCGGCCGCGATCGGCTGCGAGGCACGTTCGGTGGCAACTCGAGTCGACGCTAATGAAAAAAAAAGCGCCATGACCATAAACTTTTTGCGATCGGCGCGGGTTTCTTGGATCTGCGCTGGACCCCCCTCCCTGGCGCGCGGAGCGCGCCAGGGGCGGCGCCGGAGGCACCGCCGGGGGGGCCCAGACCAGATCCAAGAAATCCAGCGCGGAACGCCAAAAGCTTATGTTTATGGCGCTTTACTATTACTATTATTATTATTAGTATTATTAGTATTGGTGTCATTATCCTTATTATTATTATTATTCTTATTATTATCCTCATAATTTTTCAAGCAAAATAAACGCTGATCGACGCGAGCCGACGCCAAATCGGCGCTATCTCATCGGCTCTCAGGACGCCAATCTCGGGTCGGGCGAAAGGGGGGGATAGCAAAGGGAGGGGTCGTAATAAGGTCGGTCGACGCCGACGGGACGTATACGAGGGGCTCTGCCGCCGGAGGCGCGGGCCCCGCGCGAGAGCGCGGGCGGGCCTTGAGGCCCCTGCCCTTGCCCGCCGTCATGTGCGAGAGCTGGCTGTCCTCGGGGCGTCGGGCCCGCCATCGCTTGGACGTCCCTTCCCCGCGTGCTTCTCGGTGCAGGACGTTTTTTTTTTTTTTTTTTTTTGGTGGTTCCAGCAAGAGGGCACAAGAAGCTCCTCGAGGGCCATCGCCGAGAAAACTGATCACCTCCGAGCGATGCCAAGCAGGGGGAGAATCCTGGAGGCCTCGCGCGGCAACTCGAGACCCAGCGCACGTCGTCCGATGTCCGACGGGGCGGACGTGTGGAGTAGATGATCCAACTGTTGCGCGCCGCGCGAAGCCTCCAGGCTTTTCCTCATAGAGGTTGCTCCCCGGCCGGCCACGAACTAGGGGAACCTATGCTGCTTATTCCCCCCGGGGGAGCCCATCGTATCGACGATCTCCCGGGCAAGACCAATCGGCACCGAATCGGGTTATCGGATCGAGTGCCAATGTGCATCGGATCGGGCTGCATCGACCCGGGGCCGAATTCTATTCGGATCGGCTGCGCCAAGATGCACAGCATCGCCATGCGAACACTTGGCCACAATGGATCGTTTGACTATCGGAATCGAATCAGATCGAACCGGTTAGAGTAGACACCGAATCTGATCGAGCGGATCGAAGTGCACCCTCAGGTGTTCAAGCCGAGGGGTGGGATAAGGAGCTCAACAACCCCCCAGCTAAGGCTGGCGTAGGGCCACTCCCTGCTCTGGGACCTCCCTGCCAGAGTCCTTCCTCAAGAGCCTCCCTTATCTCCGGCGCCCAGCCCGCCGACGTGTCCTTTTCTTCGGTGGCTCAGAGATGGGGTCCTCAGGGAGGGAGCCCTCAGGATTGAAAGGGATCCAAGGGGGAACTTGCAATGTCCGAGGCACCTAGTCCTTAGGACCCCATCCCTCAGGACCCCAGCCATCTTTGAGCCTCATATTTCGCGGATCCTGGAACAGTCCTGAAACCCAAACGTGTTGTCATCTCTTGGGGACTCATTCTTTTTACTTCCGCCACCTTCCGCCGCCCCTTCGCCAGCTACCGCCAGCGGAGGCGGGCTCGTTCTACTTCCGCCGCCTGTCGCCGCCGTCCGCCGAGGAAGCGCCGACAACTGCTTCGAAGGCGAGGCCCTTTCCGGAACCTGGCGGCGCGCAGACCGGGGGTAGGGGGGAGGGGGAAGGCTCCTTAGAAGGCGGCCGCTTCTTAGCAGGCGCGGGGCCTGCATGTACGATGCGGCCCGCGCCTCCTCAGAAGCAGGGGCGCCTCTAGGAAGCCTTCCCCCCCCCCTCCTCCCGCCCCCCTCTGCGCGTGGCCGAGGAGCGCCCCCGCTGCGTCGTCGTCGTCGTCGTCGTCGTCGTCGTCGTCGTCGTCGTCGTCGTCGTCGTGCGTCGGTCCCAAAAGCCTGCGCCCCCTGGCCCGCCCCGGGCCCTCGCCGCCGCAGATGGCGCCGCTCTCCTCGGCTCCGGCATCCCCGCGGGCCAGCACGATGGCGTGCTGCGGATCGCCGTCCTGGCGATGACGGGGGGGAGCCAGGCCCTGGAGGCCTCCCTCTTGCCGGCGGCGAGCGAGGGGGGCAGGTGAGGAGGGGCGGGCCTTCTCACAAGGTGGCGGGGCTTCTCAGAAGGCTGCCTGTGTCTTCGGGGAAGGCTCAGAACACCTCTTAGAAGGCCAAGTGACTTCCGAGCCTTAAAACGGGATCGGAATTTATTCCGCCTGGTACCCATATGGGCGATCCCTGTATGCTCTGACGGGCATGTACGGTTCGAGCCCATACTGGAGGAGCAGACCTGCCGTTTGCCTAACAACGCCTGCCTCGCTCAAGCGATTCCGTCTCGACGGCGAACTCAACCATCCGAACACAACAACGACCACACGGAGCACATCTAACACCCTTAGCTGCGCCCGGACGTTCCGCGACGCCGAACACAGATGTCACATCACGACAGCACGATTCGACCGACCACGAGTGCGACAGACACAGAGGGGGTCGAGCGCGGGCTCGTTGGCAACCCAACTGCGACTTCCGCGAGGTCAAACGATTTCGCCATCGCTCGGACGTCCATTTCCTGTGTTTTTTTGCCGGTTTCGTGCGTGTTTTTTTTCGCCAAATGATCAAGGATGCTTCTCGATGGTCCTCGCCGAAGGAAAATTTCACACGTCCGAGCGATGCCAAGCGATATAACACCCACCTTTCCGCGCCTGTCTTGCCGCGTCCCGTCGCGCGCTCGGCGCGTCGCTCGCCTGCAAGCGCGTCTGGCGTTGCCCCCGCGCTCGCCGCAGGGTCCCGCCCGCGCGCGTTTGGCGCATGGCTGCCCATGGTTCGTTCGTGCGCTTTCGGCGCTCCCACGGCTCCCCACCCCCCGCGAGGGGGCGACGAGACGATGACATCCAGAGACACTTTTTCTTACGGGCAAGGGGTGTATCATCGAGAAAGGCCCACTCGAGTGTGCGAGCCGTGGCCCTTGAGCGCCGGCCTAATCTGAAGGGGCCCCAGGACACACAAATAAATACACACAAATACAAAGATTCCCCATATTTTCCCATATTTTCTGGGGTTCTGTCTTCCCCCCCCACTTTTTGTATTTTCCCATATTTTCCGGGGGATCGACGATTCATTGTGTCTGTGTTTTTGTCCCCTCCTAATAAACCTCCTCGCGCCGGCGAGGAGCTACCTCGGGCCGCGCTGGCGTGGCGTCCACGACAGCGGCGGCGCCGCCCACGTGCTTCGCGGTGGGCCCGCGTCCCCCGCGTGCTTCGCCGCGCGCCCCCCCGCGCGCTTCGCGGAGGGCCGGGGGCTGCGCAGCCTGAGAGAGCTCGCGCCGCGGAGGGGAGCAAAACGCCTGCAGACCCTCCTCCTCCTCCTCCTCCTCCTTCGCCTCCTCCTCCTCCTCCTCCGCCTCCCTCTCCTTTTCCTCCTCCTTCTCCTCCTCCTCCTTTTTTTCTTTTCCTTTTCCTCCTCCTCCTCCTCCTGCCCGCCCGGCGCAAAGTCGTCCGCTGGCCGCCGCGCCACGGGAGCGCTCTCGGAACCACGCGCGCGCGCGTCGCGGTCGGGGCGGTCGAAAGGAAATGGGGGGCAGGGGCAGGAGGAAGGAGAGGGGAGGGGGAAACATCGACGTACAATGGCCATGACACCAGGGCTTGGTTTGCCCCAAGTGGCGCTGGCCAAGGAGACGGCAGCAATGCAGCTACGCGGGCGACGTGAGCATGGCGAAGGCACAGGAGTAGGAAGAGGGCGACGTACAGGGAGCAGATGAAACTCCCAAGTGGGGTTCGAATAGACGGTGTCCGAAGATCGCACCGCGTCGAAGATGCATTGGCACTTCCGGCGTGGAGGAAACTGGCGATATGTCGGCGATGTGGCGCGATCTTCTGACCCCATCTGCTCGGACCCCACCTGGGAGGCATGTAGACGCGCGGGGAGCAGAAGGGAGAGAAGGGGGGGGGGCGGAGAGGCAAATTAGGTGCGCTCGCGTCACACCCGGCACCCTATCCCTCCGTCCCATCGCTTCCCTTTGCGCTGTCTTTTTAGCCGCGGGAGCATGCCATAGCCGACCTAGAACTTACGAAACAAACCCCAACGTCTTATACGCAGTCGGAAAATGGAGCTGCGTACATGAGGTGGGAAATCCAAGCGGACTGCTGACATAAGGAATGCTAAGCGAGGAACGAATCCCCCGTTCGGCGCCGACAGCGCCTGGGCACACGAGGAGGGCTAGAGGAACCACCGCGGAAGGACCTCAGGAACAGCGAGCCCCTTCTGAGCGCCTCCTGGAAGGCAGATGCCGACCAGGAGTTCCTGTGGGTCAATGGGCAGCAAGCCAGCTAGAGCGGGTTGCCGCGGCATGCCCCGCCCCCCCCCCCCCGCGTCTAGCGGTACGAGTCCAGGTGACCGTTGCCGTTCCATTTTGCGGTACGGGCGGGGCGACGACCGGCTGTAAGGAAAGGAGCACCGAGCCCGAGCAGAGCAGAAGCAGCACGCCCCAGGGAGGATGCGGATTGGTGATCGCCCCTCCTCGGGGCACGCGAGAAACGAAGGAAGGAATGACGGAAGGAAGAAAGGAAATCGGAGGAGGAATATGACACGGGGAGGAGGAACAAGCGGAAGAGGGGAAGTAGGAGGAGGAGGAGGGGGAGGAGGAGGAGGAAGAGGAGGAGGAGGAGGAAGAGGAGGAAGAGGAGGAGGAAGAGGAGGAGGAGGAGGACGACGAGGACGAGCGTAGGGCTGGCGGGCCAGGCCTCCTCCTGCGAGACGCGCGTCCTCTTCGCGGCCTGCCCTTCGGAAGGGCCCTGGCGGCGGGTGGGGCTCGGCGACCCCGCGAGGGTGAGCTCGCTGGGCGAGGGGAGCGGCGAGGGCTGGGCTCCGAGAGGAGGGCCAGGAGGGGGGGTACAGTTAGTTCCACTTCACGCTGCCTGGCCACCTCATCCCAATGCAAGATCAACCAGCACATGCCATACATACTACGACTGAGTATACGACGGCTACTACTAATACTAATCATGATATGAGTAATCAGATGATAGCAGCAATCATCGCCAGATGTTGATGATGATGGTACTCATTATATCAGACACATGAATGGAATTCATAGCAAGACGGCGGATAATAACAGCATTGATACAACGAGGATAAACACTAACAATAATAATGACGCCAATGTTAAAACGTAAGACTAGTAAGACGACTCATATAAGAAAGCGAACGTGAAGAATAAGCATACGAACGCACCGACGCACCCACGAAGGGGGGGTAAAGGAGGTGGGGTGGGGAAAGAGGACCTCCTCCTCCTCTTCCTCCTCCTCCTCTTGCTGCTGCTGCTGCTGCTGCTCCTACTCCCTCTCCTCCTCAATTTCCCTCCTCCTCTCCGTCCTCCTCCCCCCCTCCCTCCCTGCCTGCCTGCATCCCCTGGTGGGAGTGGGGGAGGAGGCACGGGGGGGGGGAGGAGTGCGTGGAAGGCGACGGCGTGGGAGTGGGAGGGCCATGGCAGGTGGACGGGGAACGCGGAGGGAGCAGGAGGGGATGGAGGAGGGGACGTGGAAGGAGGATTGTGATACCGTCGGGGCGTTGACCTCAAGAACCCTAAATAAGGAACGAGGCCCCTTTTACCCATAAGTTCAACCTCGATTTCCTATGGAAAACCAAGGAAAACCCGAGGCAAACTTTTGAAACAATCAAGGAACACGGAGCCCCTCCCAAACGAAAAGGGTTCCGTCTTCAGCGCCCCGACTGTAACACACGAACACGTGCGAGAGCACATCGCCTCTGGTCACTCCTCGTCCGTTGTGGGCGGTGCTGCGCACAACCCGCGTCTTCCTCAGAAGCAGCCTCCTTCCGAGAGGCCTCCCCACCCCTACCCCTACCCTAGAGGAAGAAACAGCGGCACAAACATAAGCTTTCGACGCTCCGAGCAGATTTCCTGGATCTGCGCAGGGCCCCCTCCCTGGCGCGTGGAGCGCGCCAGGGGCGGCGCCGGCTGCGCCGCCAGGGGGGGCCCAGCGCGGATCCAAGAAATCCGCGCGGAACGCCAACAAATTATGTTTATGACGTTTTTAGTCTTCGAAACTTTGCACCGCCACTCCCCATCCATCACTCCCTCGCTTCTGCGACACAGCTTGTCGCAGGGGAAGATTGCGGATGGGGGTGGGGCAGAAGGAGGAGGAGGGCCAGGAAGATACGATCCAACAAATCCTCGCGGAACGTCGAACATTTCTGCTCATGCTGTTTTCTTACGTCCTTCGAAACCCATCCCTGCGCGTGACCTTCGGGGATCTGCTGACCCGGGTCAGCAGGAAACCAAGCGCTGCAATGCAAGAAACAACAACTGCAACGCAGGGCTTCGCAAACCCGGGTCAGCCAGTATGCGCGGCCGCCTCGCGGCCACGAGCGGCTCGCGAACCCGGGTCAGCCAGAGGGGGTCTTCTTGAGCAGGGACCGGCCGTCCGGGCATTCCTATAGTCCTACCACGAAATGTTCCTAGAACCCGAACGTGTTCTAATAACAACAGCAAGGTTCTTATAGCATAAGCCCTATGTGATAAAACAAAACAGACCCCGCCAGAAATGTTCCAAGAACATTTCGTGGGAACCACAACCGGTTCCTAGAACATTGTTTGGTAGGACTATCGGCACGCCTGGACGCTTCGCCACTGCTTGACTCTTGAGCTCCGATCTGGACACCCGAAATGGGTACGGAAAGAATGGGCAACATGCCCAACAACAAATGCTGTCCCGAACCAACAGCGGCCGCTGTTGGGCAGGCGGCCTTCTGTCTCAAATGAACACAGGCCGCGGCGGCGCGGACAGCGAGTCCTGTTCAGAATGAACCAGAGCTGCTGTTGGGCATCCTACCCATTCTTTCAGTACCCATTTCGGGCGTGCAGATCCGAGACCTGGGGGGCCTCCCGGGCCCGGCCCGGCCAACCGTGCGAGGCGCCCGCCGCCAGGGCAAGGCCCCCCCCGCGGCTCCCACCCCGAGCCCGGCTCGACCGAGGCCTGCCTCCGCAGACCCCTGCCGGGGAGACGCAAGACTCGGGCACGGGGCGCGGCGCTTGGGCTCTCGCCTCTTCGCTGCCGACGTGGGCGTCGGAGGCCTCCAGGTGGCTCGGGCCGGGCCAAAGGGGGGGATAGCCAAAGGGGGGTTTGAGAGTCAGCTCGCGTCACTGATTTCCTCGGCGCCTCCCGGCGCCGGGAGGTGCCCCTGCATGGAGGAATGGGCCCGGCGGCGGGGCCGAAGCCAGCTGCATGCAGCAGATTTCGTAATTCCCCCGTTCCCTATCCCCGCCATTCGTTCGGCCCGAGTGGCTCGGACGGGAGCCCAGATCATAGAGGCCTCCCAGATGGGGTCGGGGTCGATTAGGGGAAACGTAAGGCTCGGGTACGGGTGACTCGGGGTGGCCTGACGGGGGCCGTCGTAAAATGACGAGGCCCAATCTGAAATTTGACGTGGGCTCCCGCTGCAGACATCCCACAAAAACGGGACCGTCAAAATCCAGGACGCGCTCGTCAAAACAAATTCGGCAAACCCGAGTTCCGGCTTACTCGAATCTTACGTTTCCCATCCTGCAAGAGCCGGGCTGACGCTCTGGCTGAGTCCCGTTTGCGCTGAACCCCGCTACGGCAGGTTCGTATCGTGCCAACCCTGGCGTTGGTTTCTGACACCGCGCTGGATCGTTCAACCTCGAACGATTGGCCGTTCCTGGAACATTAGATCGTTCAGCATCGACCGACTCTGGGTCGCCTGCGGCGTTCCACGTTGAACGCCGGCAGCGGTATCGCCGCTGGTCGACACGACGCGAAACTACTGGGATGGGCGCGGGGGTTGCTAAGGAGACAGGGGGGTTTAGCAGTGGACGCCAAAGGGGTTATACCTGGCCTAACCTAGCTTACCAGTGGGTTATACATGTCCCAAGTGGCTTAGGGGACTAGACAACTCCGCTCCGTGGGCGGAGCCCACTTAGCCTGGATCGCTATCCCCCCCAATCCTCTTCGGACTTTAGCGACCCACTCATGAACTAGGTTGGGCCACACGTAACCCACCTTGGCATCCACCGATCATCCCCCTGATCCCCTTAACACTCCCCGCGCCCATCCGAGCACCGTACCTGCCGGCTGAGTGACGCGCCCTCGCGTGTGCCGGCCGCCCCTCCCGAAGGCTCTTCCTGGCCGCCCCAGCGCTTCCCCCTGGCGCACGCGCAGGCGTTCGGGGGATGCCCACGGTGGCTTCCCCGGGCGGCCGAGGCGTGCTGCCAAGGCAGCCAGGAGGGCCCAATACAATCAGCCCGTGTCGTGAGGGTGCGCGGTGAGGATGCCAGGGCCCTGGAAGGCGCGTCGGCACTTTGCGAGCGGGGCGCGGCCAGCGAGAGCGGCCGAGGATGGGCCGAGGAGGCAAGGATACATACCCTTGGGAAACATTGCCCCTCCTTACTGTCTGGGTTGACTGTATGCCTCCAGGACAGCCTCAGACCGCCGCAGTGCGGCCCGAGAGGGCCTCAAGACGGCCGAAGTGGCCCCGAGGACGGCCCAAGACCTCAACAGGGCCCGAAGACGCCGATTGCCACAGCAACGCGCCCTACTCGCAGCAACGGCGGAGGGGCGGGGTGAGGAGTAGGGCGGCTGCTGAAAACGTTGGTTTCCCCAGTTGCATCGTGGATTCCTAGGCGTGACAAGGGGCGAGGGGCACGGCCGCGTGACCACGTGCGCCGTCGCGTTTTGTCCGCGAGGGGCCGCGGCCGTGCCATAGGGGCGGGAGCACCGGCTCGCCCGTGCCTTTTCTGCCAATGACCGTGGGCGTATGACGGGGGTGGAGACTACGGCGAGCTGCGCCGCGGTATGGTTTTGCAAAAATCGGGGATGGACAGACCTCCCTTTAGTAGAACGTGGTTTAGTGAAAACGACCTGAGGCCCAAACCTGGCGTGCGCAGGCCTGGAAAATAACGGCCACGGCGTCCTCTCGAGAACCGAAAACGGACAATTCACTAATCGACGTGTCACTGTTGGGGGTTCTGTCCACCCCCGAAAAAAGGATCGCGGCCGTGTGCAAAAGGGTGAGAGCACGGCCGTGCGCATGTCATGACGGCGGATCGTGGCGGCGTCACAGGGGCGAGAACCTGGCCATCTGCACCGCCGTGCGTTTCTTGCCACGAGGGATCCTGGCTGTGCGACAGGGGCGGAATAGCACGGCCACGTGCAACGTCATATTTTTGCCCGAGGGGGCCGTGGCCGTGAGGCAGGAGTGCGAGCACGGCCGCGTGCTCGCACGTTTTTTTTTTTTTTTTTTTTTTTTTTTTTTTTTTTTTTTTTTTTTTTTTTTTTTATATATATATATATATATATATATATATATATATATTCTTTTTTGTTTTAATATTATTATTTTTGTTTTTTTTGTTGTTTGTTGTTTTTGTTCTTTTCAATAAAAAAGAAAAAACACATTGTGACAATCCAGACCGACCATGTAGCCAGCCGGCGTTGGGGCGAGAGAAGGCGATTGCGAAGTACATTGTAAGGGAATCTCAGGCGGAGCGGCTGCCGCACCGGCCGCCAGACCGACCGCTCCCGGGCTCCCCGTCCCACCGATGAGACTCTTCTGTGGTCCTCTCTTTGTAGGGGAACTGGGACACACAAATAAATGCACACAAATACAAAGATTCCCCATCTTTTCCCATCTTTTCTGGGTTTTTGTCTTCCCCCCCCACTTCCCATATTTTCCCAGATTTTCTGGGGAATCGAGGATTAATTGTGTCTGTGTGTTTCTTTTCCTCCTGATCTTCGAACCCTCTGGCGAACTGCTCTTCGGGAGGCAAAACTTCGCCGCCTCACCCTCCTGGGCTTCCGGCAGCCCCAGACGTCCGCCCAGACGTCCGCCAAGACGGCCCAAGAGGCTCCCAAGACGGCCCCGAGGCGGCCCTCGAGATGGCCCAAGAGGCCTCCAAAGTCACTCCCCACACGGCCCACGCAGGCCCCGCGGCGGCCTCAGGGACCGCCCTGGACGATCCCTGGAGGGCTCCCGAGAGGGCCCAGGGAGGCGCCCCCCCAGACGGACTCCGGAGGCACCGTGTCTGCCCAGTAGCCCCGCAGGACGGCCCAGGAAGCCCTTGGGACGCTCCCGCACGGAGGCCCCCAGAAGGGAGGCACGGTGGAGCACAAGGAGGCAGGCGACGAAGACCAGGACAAGACAGCGCCTTGGGAGATGTCGGACGGTGATCACACCAATGACTGGCAAGGTTCCTAGAGTAAGGCCATCTGAGAATTGGCTTCTTTGGCCTTCGCTCTCTCGAGTAGGGCTGCCACCCCGACAGGGCGCGGACAGGCGTCGTACCGCACCTCGCGGCCTCTCCCGCGCCTCGGGGCACGAGGCGTCACACGCCACGGCCTCCCGTGCGCTCGCCGAGCCACATCGCCGCCGAGAGCGCTGGGGCAGCACGGGCGTGCTGGACCTGCCGCAGGCAGCCTCCGGTTTAGGCTCTAGGGTTTAGGGCTCGGGGCTCAGGGCCTGAACCCTGAGCCCCCAAAACCCTTCGTTCCACGAAGCGCCGCCTCTCCCATTCCCACTCCACCCCCGAGGAGGAGGAGGAGGAGGAGGAGGAGGAGGAGGAGGAGGAGGAGGAGGAACCGAGCATTGCACACACATGCACTCTCGGAGGCCCGCGCCGAGTTCCTGGATCGGCGCTGGAACCCTCCCCCTGGCGCGCGCAGCGCTCCAGCGGCGATCCGAGCAGATCCGCGCGGACCCCCGACCGTTCAGGTTTACGCTATTTGTTGTTCCACCCAATGGGGCATACAGTCGGCCCGTATCATAGAGATCCGCGATAAGGATGCAAGCGTCTTGGACGCCCATTTCGGAACTTCTCGATCGGGGCGCGGCCAACGAAAGTGGCCAAGGATGGACCGAGGATGCAAGGATACCTTTGGGGAAATTGCCCATCCTTACTATGCGGGTCGTATGTATCCCCTTCTCCTCGCCGCTCTGCATGACTGCCTCGTTGCCCCACGCGTCTACACAAGGGAGGCGCCTTGTTGGCCAGGCGCCTCTGAGGGGCCATGCTGCCGCGCGGCTGCTGCCCCTGCCGTGGGGCGCTAAACGCGGGCCCTCTCAGCAAGGCTGGGAACCAACAGGATGGCCGTGGGCGAAAACGCACATCCGTTCCCCACGGCCTCGACCTCGGTGCTGTGGTGCATGTTCTCGCGGAAGCCCCGCGCCGAACGTATCCGTGGGACCGCGTATCCGCAGGATCTCGCCCTGGAATCCGGACTGCGAGGGCGTGGATGCGGATGCGTGTTCGCCGCGCGTGGGATGGATGAACACGAAGGTGGGGTCATGGAGGAGGAGGAGGAGGAGGAGGAGGAGGAGGAGGAGGAGGAGGAGGAGGAGCAGGAGGAGGAGCAGGAGGAGGAGGAGGAGGAGGAGGAGGAGGATCAGAATCTTGGCAACACCAATCGTACATCTCAAGTCCGAGGGCCAGCAGGCGGGTGCCCAGGAGCGCGGACGCAGCGCCGCACTGCAGACGCGGCCTCGGTGGCTGCTCCCCGGCGCCCGACTCCTGCAATCCGGGGGCTCTCCCGAGCCGCGTGCACAGCACGAGACGGTCGGGCAAGACCAGGTTCGGGGGGAAGGGGGGGGTAGCAAAGGGGGGGTTTGAGAATCAGCTCACGTAGCTGATTTTTCCAGCGCCTTCCGGCGCCGGGAGCGGCCATGTATCGAGGAATTGGCCCTTCGGTGAGGCCGAAACCAGCTGCATGCAGCAAATTTCGTAACCCCCCCTTTCCCAATCCCCCCCTTTCGCCCGACCCGACAAGACCAGGTGCACCGAACACATCCAGAGCTCATCGGGGCAGGCAAGACCTGGACAGGCCTCGGTCGCCGAGGGCAGCTCAGACCTGCTGCGCCGGTCGATATCGCGTTCGCTTGCGCTGCCCAACTGGACGGGATGCGTGCCGACCAGGCGCTCGAAGTTTTTTTTTTTGAACACCGGGCAAGGCGCGAGGTAAGAAGAGAAGGACAGGAAAGCAGGATGCCTTGTGCCTTGAGCCCTTGAGAGCTGCTTGAGCCACTCAAAACCTTGAGCCGACAAGATCGGCCTGAGCCAACATGGCTACGGATTTTGAGCCAGAATGATGACTTCGAGCGTCTGGTCAGCGTCTGGCTGACCAGACGCTGCCACGAGGAGCCTCTCGGCGGTCCGAGCACCGAGCGGAGGACCTGGAGCAGACCTCGAGAACCTAGAGGTCTGGAGGCCCTCGAGGCCCGAGGGCCGCTGACGCCGCAGCTGAGGTGGCGCCCACGGCGAGGGGGTAGCGCGGGGGGGCGCCTTTCCGAGAACGCATGGGGCGATCCCAGAAGGGCCCAGAGAGGCTTCCAAGAAGGCTCCCTGGAGGCCCGAAGGGCTTCTCAAGCCCTCTGCCTTCTCCCCGAAGCCCTCCCTGCTTCTCAGGAGGCCCCCGCCCACTGTCCGCGCCCCCCCCTCTGGCGCGCGCCCTCCCAAGCAGGCTGTTCGACAGAGGGTCGAAGCTTTTTACTGCGGCCTCGGAGCTTACTCACTGGCTGCTCGGTGAGCCCAGCCTTAAGGCCTGCTCAGCTTGAAGACCGAGCCGAACTGACTATGGAAGTCTGCAGCACCAGCTGGCCACCGCCGCTCCCCATCTTGGCGGTGCAAGGGTGGGGCCCCGAGGGGTGGGGCCCGAAGGACGAGAACGTCATAGCCTGAAGGCTCACCCTGTGATCCATATCCTATCGCCAGGGGGCTCATCCTTCAGGGCCACATCCTTGCACCGCCACTCCTCATCCATCACTCCCTCGCTTCTGCAACACAGCCAGGCCTTGTCGCAGGAAAGGATCACGGACGGGGGTGGGGGGAGGATGAGATGGAGGAGGATAATGATGATGAGGAGGAGGAGGAGGAGGAGGAGGAGGAGGAGGAGGAGGAGGAGAAACATGAGGAGGAGGAGGATGAGGAGGAGGAGGAGGAGGAGGGGGACCACGAGGAGAAGCATCAGCAGCAGCAGCAGCAGGATGAGCAGACGTGGGCGAAGGTCAGGGAGGCGAGAAGGGGGGCGAGAAGGAGGAGGAGGAGGAGGACAAGGAGGAGGAGGAGGACGAGGAGGAGAAGGAGGAGGAGGAGGAGGAAAAGAAGGAGGAGGAAGAGGAGTAGGGAGGAGGGAGGAGGTGGTGGTGGAACTCTGCGTCTTGTCGGAACCGACGTGCAGTGGCCCTTATAGTGGGCCGGCTCGGACCCGGCCTGTAGCCGGGTGGAGGGTGGTGTGGTGGGCCCGATCCGTTGTCAGGCCCTTCCGAAGATTTGTTGGGCCCAGGCCGACCCGCTCCTTGGCAAGTCCGCCCGAGCCCCGCAGGGGCTCTCCTGCATGGGGCAGCCCTCAGGGGCCCCCCACGCGAGTCGCAGGTCAAGGCCCCTAGAGGCCCACGGTCTACGGCGCTCTTGCCGTATCCGCTGGGCCCTGGCCTTATTCTCGGCAATCCTGCGCCGCTGGGTGTCGGTAAGAGGGGGACGAGGCGGGAGAGGCGGAGGCGGAGGCGGAGTCGGGGACCGGAGGAAGGGAGAGAGTCCGATCACCTCAGCAGCGTAGGTCTCCTCTTCAGTGGGGCCCTGGCTGTCTTCAGGATCCTGGGAGGGGCCTGGGGGGTCCTGGCCAGGCGGGCCCGGGGCCTCAAAGCGGCCCTTCTCAGGGTCAGGCCTGCTGCGGCCCTTTCCCTTCGCAAAATCAGGGGCCCACTCCCTGGCCCCGTCCTCTGACGCTGGGATCTCTGAGACATAAAAATCCGCCAGGCCCTGCACGAGGAGTTGGTGAGACTGGGATTCATCCCTGGGCGCGTCCGGGAGCGCAGCATCGAGGGCCGATTCAAGCGTCTCCAGAATGCTCTCGGCGATGCTGCGACAGAGGCCCGGGGGGTAGACCTTCTTCCGCGCGGTGCGGAAGGCCCTGGACCCAGCCTCGCGCCCTAGGAGAGTGGCGTGGGCCGCTTGCCCGTGGGAGCATTTTCCTCCCCCAGGCGTCGCCGTCAGGCGCCTGTGCAGCCCCGCCATGCGGAGCCCAAAAATTCTGGTCGGGGCCCTGCTCAGTTGTCCGTGCTCGCACTGGTCGAAGTCCGTGGTCGTGGTGCACGGCGCCGACAGCAGCGCGAGCCACGGCTCCCATGTCCATGATGTGACGGCCGCCAGCCGCCAGCTGCACGGGATGGGGTGCTCCGACCACCCTGCCGTGCCTGCCACCAGGTGCGCCGCCAGGAGGAGCACCATGGACTGCATCAGGGCATTCCCCACGGCCAGCTGGATCCTCTGCCGTGGTGCAGCATGCGCCACTCCCCAGAACTGATCGTGGGGCCTGAGCGGCGGTGGGCCTGGCTGCTCTGACCATCTCGCCGCACTCCATGTCTCACATGGGGGTCCTCCTCCCGTCAACATGATCTGCCTCTTCAGGATCCCCTCGTGGAAAACCATCAGGCTGTCCTGTCGCATGAGGTCGCAGCGCCGAGCGTCGATCGCCACGTCGATGCTGAGGACCATTATGTGCACCTTCTCCGACATGACTTCGAACTTCGGCGCGGCCTCGAACTCATGTTGAATGTCCTGCTTGCGCCTGTGCCCGCAGAATAGGTTGAGTACGTAGATCTCTGCCCTCTGTATCCTCCACGGTATCTTCACCTCCGTGGTGATGCCACTGTACTTGTCGGTGCGGAACTGGTTCAGGTCGTACCTTTCGTCGTGCAGCACTTCCTTCTTCTCCTGGGGCCTTTCTTCTGAGCCCTCCTGGAGCGTGGTCCTGGCAGCGTCGTCGAGCACGTAGTCAGCCTCGAGCAGGACCTTCTTCGCGTCTTCCTGGCTGAGGGATACCACGTCTGGCAAGGGCCCCGCTGCCTTGATCGCGGGTATGTTCACTCTCTTCCTCAGCAGTCCTCGCGGGAGCTCGTTACGCAGCTCGCTCTCCTCAGTGCCAGGCGCCTCTCCCGCATCTATGGTCGCGACGAGGCAGGCCGGCGATGCGATCGCCAGGTGCTCGGTGAGGTGGTGGGTCCGGTCGAACAGGGTCATGCAGCCTTGGCACTGCGTTGTTGAACCCGTCCAGGTACGTGCTAGCCTGACCATGGTCCAGTGCTGCTGTGAGATGTGGACTCTGAGCCCTCTCTGTCGCCTGAACGTCCTCTGACACCACGGGCATATCCATTGTCTCGTCGGCGCTGTATGTGGCTCGTCTGCCTGCGGTGGCCCGAATGGGCTGCCTTCCCTTGTGGAATATGGCACTCCCGCTGGCTGTACTATGGCGAAGAAGCGCTTCTCTGCCATGCGTGCCGCGTGACCTCTGCTCAGGTGTGCTGCTGCCGCCTTGAGCGTGTCGTTGAGCCTGTACTTCCACGAGGAGTGCGAGCGCATGATCATCATCTCCCAAGGCCTCAGCTCGTCACTGGGGTCCGGGAGGTCGTGCAGGTCCGCCGAGTAGCCTTGCAGCCAGCGGAGGTCCCCCATTAGCATCTGCGGCCAGGACTGCCTCTTGGCATGCTGGGGCCGCAGGAGGAGCTGGGCCATCGTCGCGAAAGCGAGGGGTGGTCCTGCTTGCAGTAGTTCGCCGAAAAGCCTTAGCCTTGCTACTCTCAGCAGGTCCTCCGGCCAAGCCCTTCCCACCTTGGCGAGCAGTGCCTCGTCTTCCGCCTCTGGGTGGGCGTCGAGGTCCAGCTCCCCGTCCTCCTTGGTGGCGAACTTTTTCCCCGCCGCCGCCCTGTAGACTGCCATGACCATGGCGTGGTGATACTTGGCCTCCGCCCTCGTGAGTCCTGGCCAGCTGCCTTGTGAGAAGCACCTCGACGAGGATACCAGGGCGTCAGCGAATACCATCTTGGTAGGCAGGTCCAGCTGGTGGCTGCGGAAGACCTTTTCTCTCAGCTTCCTGAGAGCGGCTGTAGTGGTGGCTGCGCGGCGGTAGAGCTCTGGGTACACCGCGCCATGGTCGTCGATGACCGTTCCCAGCGCCACGTGGTTGTGCACTGCGTGGATGACGGCTCCCTCGTAGTGCTTCGACCTGAGCTTGACCCTTCCATGGCACTCATGCCATAGGGTCCTCCTCGCTCTCTTCGCCCCTTGGCCTGCGAAGGCAAAGAGCACCTCCGATTTGCCAGGGTCAAGGTTGAGGACGAGGCCGAACTCCGCGAAGGTGTCCAGGACGATGCCCGCGATGACTGCCACCGCATCCATCGCCTCCTCAGCCTTGCCGATGAAGAAGAATGTGCCGTCGTCCGCGAAGGCCACGCTGTGGCCTGGTATCTTCTCGAAGTCGAGGTCGCTGTCGAGCTGTTGCGCCAGC